ACGGTCTACGGACCGTACGTAAACGTTTACGGTACCGGTACGACGTACGTAGTTCGTACGGTACGGACGTAGACTAGTAGTAGAGAGAGAGAGAGAGAGAGAGAGAGAGAGAGAGAGAGAGGGTGTTTACTTTGGGAGAGAGTGTGGGCAGAGAGAGAGAGTCATGTGACCCCCAAATAGAGGAGAAGAGAGAAAGTAAGGGCGTTTTTGTCCTAAATCAATTGACTTTTTGACTTGGGGGTAAATATAAAGAAAAACACTAATGCTGTTTGCAGTGGGATACAAAAAGTTTTGGGGGATACGATGTCTAGAAAGTTGAATTTGGGAGGTATCTATAATTTCCCCTTTTTTTTTAAACAAATTATTTTTTTGAGGAACAAAATGTTAATAAAAATTCATTGAGACTAATAAAAGCACAAACCAATGCTATCATGTCAAGGAGATGGCAAGGTGATATCTCGGTAACTTTGAAGGGCCATCCAGTAAGACACTTGGTGCATGCATCTGCGACTTCAATTGCCTTAAAAGATAGAGTACAAAGCATCTCATCAAATGTATATGATTATAAATCAATAATGGGGTAAAAGTGCCAATCAATAGCATCATTTCAAGGAGATGATGAGGTGACCTTCCACTGACTCAAAAGGGCCACCCACTAAGATGCTATCGCATAACACTTGACTTTTAATAAGTGCATCTACTCTCTCAATATCTTCCCTGGGTACATGTTCAAAGGAAAATCATCTCAAAATAGACATAGGAAATAACTTATCAATTGTAATTGTGAGCCTCCATGGGGGTGGAGTTTCCTCATCCACTTGAGGACACAAAGTCAATCTCCTTCGACCAAAATTGGGATCTCCTGGTCTATCATGCAAAGCTTGAGCCCCCACATGGAGGGTTTTTCTTACTGCGAGGATGAGTCTCATTTTTAACTGGTTAGCCATGCTGGATAAACCTCTGACTGGTGATCACTTGCTCTGTCAGGGTATTGAGTTTCCTGATGTTTGTTACTCATGTTTGGGTGTTTAGAAAACCGTTCGCCACCGCCTTCTACATTCCTCTTTTGCTCATCAAGTGTGGAGTTAATCTTTCAGGATTGTATCAGATGCTTTGGGTTCTGCATTCCTGCTTTGGAAAATTTGCCTCTCAGTTTTTATCTTCCTTGTGAATCACATTTCAGCTGACACGTGGTTATGTCCTGGATCATGTTAGTATACTGACATTCTGCCATTTAACTTTTCCAGCTATTTAAAGCTCTTTGCTATTGCAATTACGTGCAATTTTTATCAACTGCACTATAATTCCGCAAACCATGATCCTAGCTGAAGAAGCCGAAACATTCTTATGTGAAGCTATCATGAAAAAGGCTTTTTTAAGAGATATAAATCTAGTTTAGTCAAAGGAGAATGTTCACAGGCTAGTTTGGAATGTGACAAACATTATAAATGAAATTTGGAATTTTTTTTTTTCAACAGGTGATAGATAGTCTTAGTCTTGACAAAGTGATGAGAAAAGAATGGTAAGGAGAAAAACTGGAACGGTCAGCGATAGCATCCTTCTTTTGCTTTTTCACCTGAAGACCCAATCTCAGGAACTTAGTCCTTGTGCAGATTCAAAGTAGTATCTCATCGGAATGCCTTCTCTAACTTGTTCCTCTCCTTTTGTCTCTCTTCTCCCTCAACCTTTCTCTCTTTATTCAAAGTCAGTGAGGATCATATAACACACATGTAGTAAGGTCCCAATATGACTTCTCCTTTAGCCTCCAAGTAACGTAGTGATATTAACCTTGCTGGTTGACAACTTTCCTAGATGAGGTTTGCTGTGGTTTATGATTCTTTCCTTGTCATCCCTCTATTTTTAAAAGAATGAAAGAATCACCATCGCATCCGTGCTATTAGCTGCAGGACAGTCGTGGCAGTAATGCATTTGGTTTATTGTGAGCATTCATGATATAATACCTTTACAGATTGGAGTCTGTGTTGCAGATGCCCCGTTTTTTGATGTATGATAGTTTTCAATATTTTAGCTTTGAAATTCTCAAAAAAAGTATTTTAGCTTTTAAATTTTTCTGAAGGATATTTCAATCACTAATAAGAATTTATGATGTTTTAGACTCATTTGTTCCAAGCAATGTGATCTATAGTTCTGGTTTGATTTTCTCAGTATTTGTGTTTAATCATTGGTATGATTTCTCTTGAAGGATCTGGCAAATGAGATCTATAAAAAGGTGGAAGATCTAAAGTCTGTGAAAGGAAGAAACCAGGATGCAATTTATGCAGCTTGCCTGTATATTGCTTGTCGGCAAGAGCAAATGCCTCGCACTGTGAAAGGTATGGCTTGGTCTGGATGTCAACTATAAAAAGGCTTGTCATTCAATAATGTTGCAAATTTTCAAAGATACATTGAAAACCTTATGAGCTTATTTTGTGGGGTACTAGACAGTTTGGTTGTTTTAAAACCACAAGCAGCTAATTCTATCCCTTTCATGTGGTTGTTTAATCCAAAATCCTCTGAAACTCTCAATGGCCTTATCCCCGGCCTAGCAGTAAGAAAAGGAGCCTCAACTAAAATGATATCTATCTAAAAGTAAAAGAGAAAAAAACAGCTAATAGAAAGAGGTGAGAGAGACAAGAGAAAGCTCCCCATTCTCTTCAAGTCTCTTCTTGAAACAAATTCCTCCACCTGCTCTCCAGATCCTTATTTCCACTCTCGCCCATTGCAAAATAGCCTCTGCAACTTGATCGCCAATCACACAATTCAATTAGGCATGTTCTATGTCTTTTGAGAAACACCCAAATCCTAATTAGCCAAAATTTCTTCTTTCTTGTTAAGTTCCCAAGGTGAAGTCCTTGATTTATCGTCGCTATCTTCATTGCTTACATATTTCATTGGTGATCAACTATCAAATGGATTATGCTCCTCCCTTTATGATCATCAAAGTACTGAAATCTGTCTTGTTCGCCGCTTCTATGAGAACCAGGGTTATAGTTTGGGGTCATATGGATTCCATTTGTTGAGCAATAGTGGTGTGGGGTTTTTGGAAAAGGCCCAGGGTTTGGAGTTTAGATGGTTTCTGCTCTGAATTGGAGGTTTCTATGGTTGAAGATTAAGGATGTGTTAGAATAGGAAGAAGCTACATAGGGTTCTTATTATTTTGTGGGGGTTTCAGGTGCAGAGAAGAGTAAGCCATTTGGAATTGTGGTTCAAAGCTGATGCAGGGAGAAAAATAATAAAATTTCTATAAAAATAAAAATAAAATTAAAGGGTAGAGAGAATATATCCTCTCTCAGGATCTGCAACCTCAAAGATCTATACAACCAAAAAAAGATAAAGATAGTTTTAAAGAAAACTAGAAATCCAAAATAACCTCAAATCTAAAATCTAAAGAGTAATAAACTAAATTTTTTTAAAAAAAATATAAAAAACTAATTACATCATTCTCTCGGGGTTGGAAAACTCGACCTCGAGCTTATTGAATTCATCATATTCTCTAGGTACCTTGTCTTCTTCAACGAAATAGTTGATCGAAGACAGTTTCAAAAAGAATAGTTGATCAAAGACTTAATTATCAAATTGTAATAGACCTCTAAAATACGCAACTTAATGTTGATTTCTCCTTTGAGGTCAAATGATGATATTTCACGTACTGCAACTAGCGTATCTTCTTCTTCATAATTGGTTGTCGAAATTTTGGGCACATTTGAGTTGTCAACATCTTTCACACTGAGATTTACCTCTTCATATTTTTCTTTCTCTTGTTGCCATCTATTGAGCTGATCTTTTAACACTTATTGCGTAGGCCTTCTAACATGTCTTATTTGGCTTTCTCAATTATTTGATCAATGTGTTTCATAACTAGATCAGTAATTGTTTGTGAAAGCTTCATTATGGATCTCAAAGCTCTGATACCAATTGATGGAGGGTGAAAATAATAAATCCGAAAATCAAAGTAAAATTAAAAGGTTGAGAGCATATACCATCTCTTTCTGCAAGGGAGTCCACCCTAGTAGATTCCCACAACCAAAAAATGATAAAAATAGCCCTAAAGAAAACTAGAAACCCAAAATAACTCCAAATCTAAAATCTTAAAAATAGTAGGAAAAAAAAAAAGAACCAAAAAAACCCATTACATCAACCGCCTTCTACTTTGGTAATTTGTTTTAGGACATCTTAGTTGTTAGCTTTCTACTTTCCTAGTATTTTTTGATGGGGACATCTCAGGACCGTAACAAACTTGACTATTGATCTTGTCCGATGTATAACCCAGGAAACATAGCTCCTACTCGAGTGTAACACGTGAGTTGGGCTAACAAAAAAAGGACTTGTATATCTTTGGAGATCTAATTAAGTTAGGATGGAAGTTTCAAAAGTTTTAGGTTTCCTACAAAGTTTAGATTATATTGAGCTCTCTTAAGGCGAGTAGTAGTGGAGTTGTGGATGATAGGACGCCTAAAGGAGGTGGGACTTAGGGTAGTTCTATGGGGCGGGCTTAATGAGGTTAAGATAAGTTTAGGGTTTGAATTACAAGGTTTAGGGGAAGTCAAATTGCTGAAATTTAGTAGTCAAGCAGGATACAAGGATGGAAGCAAGGCCTCTGGGGCTGGTTTTATTAATAAAAATACTTGGGATGGAAGGTATATGATTAGGGCTTGTTTGGGGTTGCTTTTCCTGTATTTAAGAGAGCTTCTAGGACGATGGAGGCAGTTTTACCTTTGGCTTTTGATAGGTGTTGGGTTACAGAGAGAAATAAGATATGAATGATGGAGGGAGAAGGGGAAAAAAAGAAAGAAAAGAAATCCTAACTTCTATAAAGAGTCTATACCATGTGCAAATTAGGGTATGTAGAATTGAATTGGCAACTTCAACTACCCCAAACTAGGATTCATAGAGTCAGCACCATTGACAAGATACATCAATGTCACATTATGGAATCAACACTAGAGGCATCAGCGCCTCATGATAGAATTAACAGCAACAAACAAAAGCAAACTTTATTTTTTCCTGAATCTCTTCTATGATTGGCCTTGCATCTTTATTTTATTGATGTAGAAACCCTTTATCTGGCTTAACTTGGAAGTTAAGCAACTTAAAATCCATCTTTTCAACATTAAGGAACTAGGTCTTTTATAATTTAAACCAGCCTGTGCACAAAATTAGGAAGTTAAAATCTTCTATAACACTTCTAGAGCAAAAAGAAAACAATTTTAACTTCAACATAAAATCAAAATCTCTAAACCTTCTTAATTAATTCCAAAGTTTATAATAAAAAAATTAACTGCCTTTTAGCCAAGATTTGAGGTCTGAAACATCCAAATTGGGAAAAAACCCTGAGATAGTAGTCATATATCGCACAGAGACCTATTTGCGATTGCAAATGACATTCTGGTCAATATTTGTGTCCTTCAAAAGCTGACTGCATCATTGTGCTTTTTGGTTGCAGAAATATGCTCAGTTACCAATGGGGCGTCAAAGAAGGAAATTGGTCGAGCCAAAGAACACATTGTGAAGCTGCTTGAGGTAGAGACGGGTAAATCGATGGAGATGGGAACAATTCATGCTGGTGGTTTTATGGTATTCTTTTTTTCACTTCACTACAATTTTATTTTCATTCTATCTCTTTTTGCTCGCTCAGATCTCTTAAATGGAACAACTGTGATATGCAGGCTTCTCCATCAAGGCAAAGTATATTATAATTCAAGGACTATATAAAGTCGTAGTCCATTGGATTTATCACCATTCAATGAAATTATGGATAGTGATGGATAGAATGTGGGGCCCTCCATTGAGGTCATGCCTTATTCTGTGGCATGCTCTCCATCACCATCCATGATTTGAGAGGTCAACTTACCCCAATGTACACGTGTTATATCATACTTGTTAAAATTCTGAATCCTCCATAGAAATCTGTGTATATAGATTTATCATAAAGGGTATACAAAGTACCGTATAAATATACGGCTAATCAATTATTGATAATGACTAACTAATCTAGTATTTATCAAGAGAGATATCTATATTACATACAAGATAAATTAAAATTAGTTAAAAACTATCCTCAACTATCTCTACACTCCCCCTCAAACTGACGTTGGATGAACATCATCAGTTTGTCAATGAGATAGTCATGACGAGTATGAATCATTGCTTTCGTAAAGATATCTGCAAGTTGTTGTTGTGAAGTAATATGAGGAAGTGTAACTTCTCCGGCCAGAAATTTTTCACGAATGAAATGACAATCAACTTCTATATGCTTTGTGCGGTCATGAAACACTGGATTGGATGCAATACGGATGACACTCATACTATCAACATGCAATGGTGTAGGAGTTCGATGAAGAATATTGAGGTCCTGCAAAAGGCATCTCAACCAAGTAATTTCACAATAAGCGGAGGACATTGCTCGGTATTCTGCTTCTGCAGAAGATTTAGACAGTTGTTTCTTACATTTTCATGATATAAGAGAATCTCCAAGAAAAATACACCACCCAGTGGTTGAGCGTCTAATATCAGGGCATCCTGCCCAATCCGCATCAGCATAGGCACGTAACTGGAGAGAAGAGTTAGAAGAGAATAATAGACCTCTATGGTATGTACCCCGTAGATAACGAATAATTCGATGGACAACTGAGAGGTGGATGCGACGAGGTTCAGCAACAAATTGGCTAACGACCTGTACTGCATGAGATATATCCGGACGAGTCATAGTGAGATAAAGTAAACTCCCAACCAGTAGTTTATAAATGAGTGGAATTCGAAAGTTTGTCTCCATCATCGTTTCGATATTTTACATTCACTTCCATTGGTGTATACACTCGTTTATCGTCAGATAAGTTGGCCATTTTGATCAAGTCTTTGGTGTACTTCTTTTGGTTAACTATGTATTCATTAGGGGAATAATAAATCTTTTGCCCAAGAAAATAAGTTAACGGACCCAAATCTTTCATTTTGAATGATTGACTGAGAAGCTCTTTCAAGTGTTCGATATTATCAAGGTTGTCTCCAGTGATGAGAATATCATCAACATATAGGAGAAGGATTGTTATTCCTGAAGAACAATGATGAGTAAATGGAAAATAGTCATGAGCATTTTGTTTCAACCGAGCATGCAGAAAGACCTGTCGAAATCGTTCAAACCAAGCTCTTAGAGCTTGTTTTAAACCATACAAGGATTTTTCAAATGACATATCATAGATTTATCATTGCAATAACCAGGAGGAGGTCGCATATATACTGTCTCTTTCAAATGTCCATGGAGAAATACATTTTTCACATCCATCTGAGATATAGTCCACTGACGAATAACTGAGAGGGCAATTACGGTTCGTACAGTAGTCATTTTAACAACAGGAGCAAACGTTTCATCATAGTCTATACCATACTCCTGTTTGTAACCTTGAGCAACTAATTATGCTTTATATCACTCGATCCTACCATCAGATTTAAGCTGCACAGAAAAGACCCATTTACTTCCAATAATAGATGTGTGAGGAGGACACGGAACAAGATCCCAAGTGTCATTGTCCAATAAGGCACTGATCTCTGCATCCATTGCCTCTTTCCAACATGGAATAGTCAAGGCTTGCTGGTGGGAGGAAGGAATATTCACTGAATCTAAAGGGGCAAATAATGATCTAGGGAGTAAACAGAGATTTAGGTTTTTAGAAGAAACCTCAATAGTATCAAGAGAAGTAAATAAAGCTCTAGGCTGTAGTGAAAAGTTAAAATCATCAAGGGAGAAGCCATATCGAGTAGGTGGGTGAAGTACACGTGAAGAACGTCGTAACTAAGTAGAGCTATCAATAGGAGTAAGAAAAGAATCACTTATAAGTAGGGCGGAGGTTTGACTTTGGTCTGGTTGGTGAGATGGAGTGTGCATGGATTGGTGTTGTTGGCTTTGTTGTTGAGGCGCTAAAAGGTGAGATGGTTTATCAGTGGAGAAATCCGGAAAGAAAGGAGCAGAGGACCCTGATGATTGTGCAATTGAAGATTAATAAAAGATGCTTTCAAAAAAGATGACATTGCAAGAAATGCGTATACGACGAGCTATTGGATCATAACATAGAAACCCTTTTTGGTTGGGACAATAACCCATAAAAACACGAGTGACTGCTTGAACAATAAATTTTGTCCGTTCATGTTGAGGAAGATGAACGAAACATACAGATCCAAAAACATGCAAGAGAGAATAATCAGGTTGAATATGAAATAATGAATAATATGGAGATTGTTTATGCCAAACCAAGGATGGGAGGCGATTTATGAGATAAACCGCTGTTGATGCAGCTTCAAACCAAAAACTATGAGGAATGCGAGAGTTATGCATAAGGGTTTTCACAACTTCTAAGATATGACATGATCGTAAGATTTTTACTTTGATATTAAACTGAGTTGCAATCATGGATAAAAACGTTTTAAAATGGGAGAACATTTTTTATTTATGACACATAAAATATATCCATGTATATCGTTTACAATCATCAATGAACAAAACAAAATACTTATATCCCATTCTGGATAAAGTTGGAGCAAGACCCCACACATCACTATGAATGAGATGGAAAGGTGCAGTTGTTTTATCTATACTTGAGTCGAAAAAGGCAAACTGATGCTTTTATTTAAAGAATAACTAATACAAGATTTATTGATAGAATTCAAGTCAAGTGCTTTATTGGGCAATGAACCAGAACGAAACAAAGTATCTAATTTATTTGCATTTGGATGACCAAGTCTCCGATGCCACATATGCCATTGTTTATTGGAAACAAAAAAATCACAATTCGTTGGAGAAAAGAAAGAAGCATCTCTCAAACTCCTAGGCGAACAAACGACCAATTCTACGCCCTTTCCCTATCACTCTCCCAGTGCGTTGGTCTTGTATTAGACAACCATCCCGAGAAAATTGAATATTGTAACCATCATCAGCTAGTTGGCCCACAGAGATTAGACTAGCAGTTAATTTAGGAACGAAGAGGACATTACGTAAATGAAAAGATGCACTATGGGAGATAGAAAGTGAAAAGATTATCAGTACCAATAATATTCAGTTTCTCCGTATTAGCTTTTGAGAATCTGACTATTACCTTGGTATGGTTTAGTAGATGCTGGACTTGTGTGTACTTCAGTGTTATGATTAGAGGCACCCGAATCAATAAACCAAAGGGGATTTACACTAGGGGATAGGTGAGAGGTCATACCAATAAAGCCCATAGCAGAGAAAGCAGAAGAGATAGCCATAGATACAGAGCTTTGTACTAACTGTTGAATATCATCTGATTTGGGACATTGTCGTATTTGGGTCATGAATAGTGCTGGATGGAGGTTCTCTACCTTTAGTCTCATGGAAGCATCATTAGCAACTTGGTATGCCCTGTAAAAAAGGTTTTCGTGTATCGAATGCCTGGTTGCCTCGCTGAGAAGGATGTCGACATTCTGTGATAATATGCCCAGCACGTTTACAATAAGAACAAAAATTTTTCTTTGTACACTGGGATGCTATATGACCATATTCTTTACACTCATAACATTGCAGCAAATATGGATCCTTTTGTGATGGTGTTCCTCTAGCCCGTTGAGTCACAAGTACAGACTCTATAGTCTTCTGTCTCTCAATTGTGGCTTGGGTCATGATTCTTGTCTCTTCACGAAGTAATTCACCTAGAATAGCATCCATATTTGCTAATGTTTTGCGATTCAAAATATTAGCTCGAACAATCTCACAGTCTGGGCGCAATTTAGTAAAAAACTGCATCACCTTCCTGTCACCATTTATCTCCATTAAGCTCTTAATGCAACAAGCACTAGTGATAGCCTTCAAGTTGACAGATTCATATTCTGTCCGCAAGTTCATGAAACCAGCATAATATTCCTGAATAGTTTTCTCCCCGTGGCTATAATAAAACATATCATACTCAATTTGGAAGCGATTTGGTTGCTGATAAACTTTTTTCAAATATTCTCATATTTTTTTCGCGATACGGAAGCCTCTCATTTGCCGTCCAATATCCAAATCTACAGAGCCGAGGATCCATGAGATAATTTTTGCATTGTTGATCTTCCATTGTTGGATATCTTTAGCATTGGGTATCACCGGTTTAGGTTCAGTGCCATCAACATACCTCCACAAACCTTTTCCTTCAACAAAAAATTGAAAATGGAATTGCCAATCGAGATAGTTTTTTCCATCAAGTTTTATAGCTAATACATCTTCTTTTTCAGAAGCCATGTGCAAATTTTCTCAAGACGACTTTGTCGTGATATAATATGGTCCCTATGGACCTTGGGAAGAGAAAGATTCACGGGTGCTTATGAAGAAGAGCTCCACCAAATAGGGGCTCACGGAGAGCGTAGAGAGATCAATCACACCAAATGCGAAGACATCACGCTCTTCATCAACTTGTAGAAGATAACCTAATTTAAAGCAAAGAGCTTGAGCTTTTGACGAAGCTATTGCTGATGTTGACAAAGCAAAAAAATTTGGCACAACTTGTGCGTGAGACCAACTTAGTTGCTTATTGCTGCCAAAGATGCATACATGCAACATCAACAAAATAAAAGGGATACCAATACGGGGTTTTGCTTGCAAAGCATGAATCCTTGACACTCGTTGCTACCCTGTTGTAGACGCCAATATGCAAAGGGCAAGCCAAAAAAAAAAAAAATTCAACGGAGATTTGAAGAGACCGAAGAACAATGAAAGAAAGAGAAGCATCTCAGATTTCACCAGAAAAAGAAAAATAAAGTTAAGAAAACTTGTGCAAGGAAGCTTTGACGAGAGAAACGTTTTGGATGATTAATTGCTCTGATACCATGTTAAAATTCTGAATCCTCTATAGAAATCTGTGTATATAGATTAATCATAAAGAGTATACAAAGTACCACATATATATACGGCTAATCAGTTATTGATAATGACTAACTAATCTAGTCTTTATCAAGAAAGATATCTGCATCAAACTAAATAATCTAGTATTTATCAAGAGATATATCTACATTACATACAAGATAAATTAAAATTAGTTAAAAACTATCTTCAACTATCTCTGCAATACTCACCTTTGGTAAGCCTCGTTTAATGTTGTTTTACTTTCTGGTTGTTCAGAGACGTTTCTGTTCCACTCTCAATATGACAAATCAGGAGAAGAAAGCTGCCTCAGAAGCTGTTGTGAAATCGGAAGAGCTTGATATAAGGTGAGTCTTCTTCGTGCTACATAATTAAGAGAGTTTAGGTCTAATTCTGATACTTTTCTTGCTATTATGGCACGGAATGGTCTTGGGTCCAATTAAGGAGCCAAGCTTTAACTCTTTTGTTTTTTCTTTGGGGTAGAAATAAATGAAGCTCTCACTGACTAGGGTTTAGTTTAATGAAAACCAGTGTGAGCTGACCTCTCTGGTCAGAGGTTGACACCATAGTCTAGACTCTAGACCCAAACAATTGACTGACTTCGTTTATAAACTTTGCACGTGGTAATTATTTTCCACATAGCATCATGCATACAACTTGTGTGTAATCTGTCGAATGTATTTAAATCTTGGAATATTGACCCAACAAATTTCCAACTATTTTGCAGGAGGAGCCCTATATCAATTGCAGCTGCTGTCATTTACATGATATCCCAGCTATCAACAGATGCCAATAAGATCCAGCTCAAAGGTTTGAATATTTTGTTATTCACACAAGAAAATGCATAACCTTGTCAAAAAAAAGAAAGAAGAAGCTCATATACACTAGAGAGAGAGATGCATGTGTTGTGATAATTGGTGGATACTGAGAGAGAGAGAGAGAGAGAGATGCATTTGTTGTAATAATTGGTGGATACCGTGTGAGAGAGAGAGATATGCATGTGTTGTGATAATTGGTGGATACCGAGAGAGAGATGCATGTGTTGTGATAACTGGTGGATACTTTGGTGGCATAGTTGCAGATATCTCGAACGCAACTGGGGTAGCAGAAGGCACAATCAGGAATGCCTACAAGGATCTCTATCCCCATGCTTCAAAAATCATACCCGATTGGTTTGCCAAGGAAGATGACCTCAAGAACCTATCCAATCCTTAAGCAAGATAGATAATGCCTTTCTTATGAGTTGGACATATACTGCAGTAATCAGGTAAAATACTTGCCCTGGGACAAAACCTCTTTGTTGAGCTGTGTATATACATGAACCTCTCCATCAATGTCTTCCATTGCAGATAGTTCTCTTTTCGATACTGCTTTGTTTAGGTTTCAGTTTGGTCTCACCAGCTTGTTCGTGTTTCTTTTCCATGGCTTTATTTAAAGCAGCCTTGCAAGGGCATCCAATACTTGGAAGTGAATTTCTGGGCACGAGATCTAATTTTTCATGATTATATATAATAATTGCGATTATAATGTGGGTGATTCATCTGAGTGAATGCATTGGGATTCCTGTCAGTGCAAGCAACACCATTGCCTTTGTGTGTGGGAATGCGGAAGAGAGCAATTCAAGCTGCAATATAAAGTTTCCTAATAAATCTTCTGGCCAAACTGCAATATAGAGTTTCCTAGTAAATCTTCTGGTCAAACTGCAATATAGAGTTTCCTAATAAATCTTCCGGCTTTTGCTTCATTGTTTTTTTTCAAGTCGTAGGCTGTCCGTTCATTATATTTGGATGTTAGTAATGCCATTTATTGGTAATCAAAATGCCTACTTTTTATCTATTGCATCTAGTGTAACGCATTCTGAAACCTGGCGATTTCTGATTTAGATCCCCTATCGGGGTGGGAAGTAATTGGAATTGCACCGGTTCCAGTATGCTATAGCCCCTGGTCTCGGCCTTGGCCCCGGCCCTTATATATATATATCACACCCATCTGTGTAGGATCTTAAAGAATAACCATTAAATTTGGTACAGATCTCTATAAAAGTCAAGTCTTATATCCATATGATAACTTTTCTAGAGATCTGTACCAAAATATTGGTGATTCTTTGGGGTCCTACACACATGGGTGTGTGAGGGTCTCATAGGATCATTATTCTCTCTCTCTCTCTATATATATATATATATATATATATATATATTGTTTATCTAATGTTTTTTTACGTCTTCTAAATCTGCACCTTATAAACCTTTATTTTATTTTTAATACTTATTTTTGAATCACCGATTAGACCGATTTAAACCTGATTTGAATCACAACCCAACATGGATCCACGGGTGAACGGTCCACCTGCTGATCCGGTTTTTGAAACACTGCTTGCATCTATGCAAAATCAAGTTTGTGTGAGTGTCTTAAAAGTATATCTCTTAAAAGTATAAAGCATGATGTGGTAATTGGGAAAAGTCTATATAGAGCCGAGGCTTTAAACAATCAAATTTGAGTCTACTGCAAAACTTTCACTAGAAGATGTTTTGATGCCCAAATATCGTCAAATTGATAATCTCAACATCAAGATGCATAATCATGAGAAAAAAAAATGGATTTCAAGTTTTGGAAATGTTGTATTTTGCAATGGGTTTTTTGACCGTTGATTTTGAAGTTTTCATAGATATGTCGATCTACATTATTTTTGAAGCTTTAAACTTTATAAATAAAGATGAAAATATAGTTGAAAGCTTTCACAAAGATTTCCAGTATTAAAACCGTATTTTTCGACACTATTTGAAGGTAGGTTCTAATTTGATTCTTTAGAGCCGAAGCTCTATGCAAACCGCACCCGTGGTAATTTACCTCTATTTCTTGTGTTGTCTCCTCGTAACATGTATATATTTAAAACTTCGAAATGTATTAATTGTTAATGACTTTGCCTTTTGTGATTTCGGGCTGCTTAATACATCATATGCCGCACAATTTTGGTTATCATATGCCGCACAGATTTGGGTTGGAGTAAATTGATAGACAATAAGCTTGCATTTCATTTCTTTGGAGTGTTTAAAAATAACCATTTTTTCTCTTTAATATGCAGTAGACATGGGTGATTCAAGCATTTGGGGTGGCTTGGATGTGAGAAAAGTAGATTTTATGGGAGAATTTTTTTGTTGGATACAAAATGTGTTTCTAAGCAGTTTTAGTTCACCAAAATTTTGAATGGATGGGTGAAAAACCAAAATTTTGAATGGAAGGGTGAAAACCAAGGATGACTCGCATGCACTCTACATTCCATCTAATGGATGTGTAATTCATTATGATTAGCACAATTAGAAAATCAAATGAGGGTTGGGAAAAGTTTCATGTTACAATAAAATTTGGAGGTGTGCCTATTGTTTAAGGTTGCAACCTTTTAAAAACCACACCCATTTCTAAATTGCCATTAGGGCCCGTTTGGATCGGGGGAAATTAAGAATCTTGGATATTTGAAATCCAAGGAAATCTATGGATTTTCAATATTAAGGATTTTTATCATAGATTCTTCAAATCTCTTGTTTGGATATATTTAAAATTCATGGATTCCTTGCAATTACTTTCATTTACATTGTTTGGTAACAAAACTTGATAAAGTTTCTCTCCTTAAACTTTAAAATTTGAGATAGTCTATAAAAATTTTGAGATAGTTTCTCTCTCTAAATTTTGATATGGTTCTCTCTCTAGAATTTAATATACTTTCTATCCGAAACTTAAAATTTGAAATTTTTTCTAAAAATTTTGAGATAGTTTCTCTCTAAAATTTTTAGGTGCTTTCTCTCTCTAAAATTTAATATAGTTTTTCTTTCTAAAATTTTAATATACTCTCTCTATAAAACTTAAAACTTAAGATAGTTTCCCTCTTTAATAATTTTGAGATAGTTTCTCTCTCGAAATATTTTTAAGTACTTTCTCTTTTTAAAATATGACAGTTTTTTTCTCAAATTCTAAGGTACTTTCTCTTTAACATCTAAATTTGAAATAAATTCTCTCTCAAAATTTTGTGATAGTTTCTCTTTCTAAAAATGTTTATATACTTTATTTTTAAAATTTGCTATAGTTACTCTCTTAAATTTTAGGATGCTTTTTCTCACTAAAATTTTAACTTTGAGATAATTTCTCTCTAAAATTTTGAGATATTTTCTCTCTTTAAAATTTGATGCAGTGTCTCTAAAATTTGATATAGTTTCTTTCTCTAAAATTTAAAATTTGAGATACTTTTTCTTTCCAAAACTTAAATTTTGAGAGTCTCTTTGAAGTTTTTGGAGATAGTTTCACTCTAAAAATTTCATGTATTTTCTCTTTCCAAAATTTGATGTAGTTTATCTTTCTAAAATTTTAAGATATTTTATCTTTTTGAAACATAAATTTTGTAATAGTTTATCTCTACAAAAATTTTGAGATAGTTTCAATCTCTAAAAATTTTTAGATGGTTTTTCTCTTTAAAAGTTGATATACTTTCTATCTTTATATTTTTAATATAGTTTCTCTCTCTAAAACTCAAAATTTGAGATAGTTTCTTTTTCTAAAAAACTTGAGATATTTCTCTCTAATTTTTTTTCAGCAATTTCTCTTACTAAAATTTATGGTTGTTTCTTTTTAAAAATTGAAGTATACTTTCTCTACAATTTTAAGAATACTTTCTCTCTAAAACTTAAGGTTTGATATATTTTCTCTCTCTAGAAATTTTGAGATAGTTTTTATCTCAAACTTCTTTTAGGTACTCTCTCTAAAATTTGATATAGTTTCTCTCTCTAAAAATTTAAAATTGAGATTGTTTCTCTTTAAAATTTTTGAAATAGTTTCTTTGTAAAAGTTTGACATAGTTTCTCTCTCTAAAATATGATAGTTGTTCCCTAAAACTAAATTTGAGATAGTTTCTCTCTCTAAAATTTTGAGATAGTTTATCGTTTTAAATTTTTGTTACTTTTTCTATCTAAAATTTTAACATACTTTCTCTCTTTCAAAATTTAAATAAACTCTCTCTAAAAGTTAAAATTTGCGATAGTTTATCTCTAAAAATTTTGCAATAGTTTATCGCTTTAAAAAAATTTAGGTACTTTCTCTCTCTAAAATTTTCATGCCTACCAAATGTTCCCTATATTTTGGGTTGAGGGAGCCAATTGAGTGAAATCCATGGGCCTTGGAAATTCAAAAAATCAGCTTTTAGTATGGAAATGAAATTATGAGAAAGTGTGCCTTATTTTCATAATTTTGATTTTCTTGATTTTAAGTATCCTAATAATCCAAACGGTGGATTTTGGCAATATCCAAGAAACTAGAAATCCATGTACCCAAACATGCTATAAATGGAAAAATCAAAGTGAATTATGTGATGGTTGGGCGAGACATTTGAAGAAATTCAGATTATGTTCTAATTTTGTTCCTTGAAAAATTTATATGTTACGCAGTTAGCACAATATGTCCTCTCTCTCTCTTTCTCACACACACAGTAATGGCTCTCTTCGAAAAACACTAATATGTTTGGTTTGTGTGAAAATATTTTTTAAAAATTATTTTTACATTAAAAAAATCTCTCATGCGATCAAGTGTGGGACTATTTTCATATGAATTGGTCATAGTATATCTTTTCACACTAATTAACAATTAATTGATGTAAAAGTATTTCCACATTTGACCGTATGAGAAATTTTTTTATGTAAAAAAGTTTTTTAGGAAACATTTTCATGTGAACCACACGTCCAATAAGTGTTAGGTTGAGCGCTTTGACCACATTGCTTCGGCTCTGTTTGTTGACGCATATTTTGTTAAGGAAGGCATATTATTACAGTAAAACACCATTGTAAAGTTGGTGAAATGTCGAAAGTTTCATGGGGTAAAATCTGTCGCAGGACAATACAGGTTTTAGGTTCCATCCTGATTAAAGCTAGGCTAGTTTTCTAGGAAGGAGCAAAGTCAAGGAATGTGCAAGACTCGTCCCAAATACAAGCAATAGATAATCGATTGTGGTTCACTCTTATTTAACTATTTGTTTGCATGAGTATCTGCTACTAATCTATTTTAAGGATTTGAGACAAGGGTTTATATAACCTTTGCATATTGATTCACTATTACAATAAAGTGAGGCGTGTGCTACATTCACTATCTACCATTGTATTGGAGTAGTAACACTTGTCCACTCCTCAAAACTTAAAAGAATGACCTTGTGAGTCATTCTGAAGGGGTAACAAGTTTTTAATTAAACCATTCCTCGAGTTTTAAGTACTTATGCATGTTAATTCAGACTTGCATAGTCAATTGCACCAGCTTATTATACCCTAAATCAGCTGCATTGCAAACTACTATCTCACATAGTCAATGGCCATTGCACAATCCTATATATGGGCTTACACAATTCAAATGCTCACACTTGAACAATAGGGTCAGTGCCCCTATCTAACCAAGTGCATAGTTAGCTCACCTGGTGCATATGTTTTGTGGCCATTTCTTGTTAGGTCGAGCTATTCATGGTCCAACCATCAAAACCTCTATTGAAATTGGCCTTAGCTATTTGTTTGCACC